GATTCTGTTTTAGCAGAGGACTTAGAATCCTTTAGGTTGAAGAGACCTTTAAAATCAAGTCCAACCATTAAGCCAACACTACTAAGTACTTACTTACCAGAGGGAGGAAAACACAAATCAGAATTTGCACATGGGCACACATTCTATTTACACAGTCCCCAAAACCTCCCTGCAGTTCTAATGGACCCATAATTCTTTACTTTTTTGCCTGACAGTGGCAGGCACCGATGCTGCCTGCTGAGTGCTGCTCCAGGTCAGTCACGCTACTCACCTCCTGGACATGGAACGCAGAATCTTGCGACTCTTGCTCAAGTTCTCACTTGTATTCACCAACTAAGAAGAAACAAAAGTGGTTTTTTTGTCTGTTGAACAAGCCTACAGCAACTCTCTAAAGATGTAGCTGGTGTTGAAATGTTGCAATTAATACCAGGACCAAGTCTAACCATATAGTCTCAAAATTCAGAGACAACATTGTTCTCTACACACAATACAAGCCTCAAGCATTGTTTCCTTTCTAAGGAGGAAATAAGACTTCGTGTACATTGCCCCTTAGATACATACATAGATACACAATTTAAGATCAATTTCTGCCCCTTGGTTTAATCTACAAATATCAGAAAGTTGGTATTAGCTCTTTCAATTAAATTTCAGTTTACTATTGCAGTTGTTGACACATGAAGTAAATGACACTGATGTGTTCTCCCCAGTGTGATTCTGAAACGCTGTTCAGTTTTTAGCAGAGAAATAACCATGCTGTACTGACAGGTCTGAGCAACCCAGGAGGCAGGAGCTCTGAACTGCTCATGGCTAATCCATCTCAGCTTTATAATGCACAGACAGGAACTGTCATATGTTTCTCAGTCAACTATTAAGCAGCACACAATTAATTGAGGCAACTAAGCTGTTTGGCTTAGTTCACGATGGGCACTGGAGCTCTCTGGATAAGATTCTGCTCTTCACTTCCAAGCCTTCAAGGGAAGTGAAAGGTAAGCCAGGTCACTTCCCACCACAGACACCTGCCTGCACAATTCCTCTGCAGTTTAAGCTGCTGCCCTCAGCTGCAACACTGGCCCTGCAGGAGCTTTACTTTGCACTGAGATGGACTGGAGCAAGCTGGAAAAAAAAACAACCAAGTCCATTCAAAGCATACTAGACTTCCAGCCTTTACTATGAGAGACCAAGCAAGGAGAAAGTCTGCTTCTAGCTGGAACATGGGGTTAATACAATTCAGCAATACAATGCCTAAAAGGCACACAATAGAAGTCCCAGCTTCATGAACAGTGTGCAGATTGACAGGCTTTAAGGACCATAATAATTTTTAATTAAAAAAAAAATAATGAAAGAACTGACAAAAACTATACCTACAATTCATAAAATCACATTTCCTTTCCTGCTCCCCAACCCAAATTTGTGAGCAGGGCAAATCAAATTCTGACTGAAATCAAAAACTACTTAAACAAAAAAGCTGCAGGTTTTGTTGGGATGAGCAGGGATAATGCTCAAGAAAAGAGGCAAGCTTTTTGTTTCTGCTGAGCACGCTTGCTTTCCAAACTCAGCATCCCCCTGAGAGCCACTCACCTAAAAGCTTTACACTCAGGATGTTTTGTACATGCCGAAAATCTCATCACTTTGTTACTTCAAAAATCAAAGTTCTCAGCTTTGCGTATGTGTGTAACTAACAAAAACAAATTAACTACATTTTAAAGCTTCAATGGTAGAAGCAGAGCTTCTTAACCCAAGGATGAGGAACAGGGATCAGCACACACTACTTTCTCCCTCCTTAGCTAACCTACAAATATTGGCAGGTTAGTAATTAACTAATTAAGCTTCTATTAAATTGCATTTCATTAGAAGATCTTGCTGACTGCCTCCCAAATCTAACTCTTTACCAGTAATCTAGTGGTGGGCAACTCCTCAGCACTTTTTAAAATCTAAAATTTTTGCAGTAATGCTTTTTTTTCCTTTAGCAGGTTTGCTGGTCTAATATCAAACCTTGCAAAGACACAGCAGCAGACATTTGTTTCGGGCCCTTTTCTGCGCACAGTACAGGAGGCTGGCAGCCTGGATCTGGTCTGTAGAGGCATCACGTGGAGCCCCTGGGCGGGAGCTGCCGCTAAGGTCACAGAGGCCGTCCCGGCGCGGCGGGCGGTCGCCCCGCTCACCCTGCTGCGGGTGCGCTCCAGCTGCTCCCGCTGCTCCCCCAGCTCCTCGATGATGTCGGTGCCGATCTGGTCCGTTTCCGCAGCCAGCCGGTGCGAGCGCTCGATGCTCTGGCTGGCTCGGTTCAGGCTCTCTGTTCCCTGGAGAAGCAGCACCCTCTGGGACTGCAGATTGGTCTGAAAAACAACATAGGTTTCAGTGTCAAGCGCAAGGACAGGTATTATGTTTCTGACATATTAAAAAGTCAGGACGTGACTCCATAGGCCACCTCTTGGTATTGGCTGTACACACTACTTATGTTAACTGATGTAGCCCCGTTCATTCAGAGAGAGTTCTTGTTCACTTTGTAAGACAGTGGCCAAATCCGGTTAAACCTTGAAAAAGAAGGACATGCAGCTAAAGAGTTAAAACAGTTACAAAAAATTGATGGAAAAGTAAATTGTTGGGAAGACAAAGAACATTTACATGAAAACAGTATCTTTGCATTCCAGATGCTAACTTTTCCTTCCATCTGTGTCTAAATTCAGTCTTATTTGTGACTTCACAGTTGGTTGCCAGGGAGATCATTAAGAGTTTACAGTCAAAAGGCTCAGGAACAAACAGTATTAACACACCGGCTGCTAAGTACCAAAGATCCTCTTTTCATGTCAGTAGCCTCAGCTACAGGATAAAAGATGTTTGCTGACCTTGGGGTCAAAAGCTAGCTCAGAATCAAGTATTTTCTTAAGCTTTGGAAAACCTGGGGCCACCTCGCTCTCAGGTTTTAGAGGAACCAAATGCAAAAATCTACCAAGCTACTGCAGCACAAGATAGTAGGGAATGAGCCTCCCTCAAACCTTCCTTATCTAAGGCAGACGAACAAAAGCCTGCCTCCACAGATCTCCTGCACAGAAAACAGCACTTCTTTGAAGATAATGAGCAGATTCAGTCTCCCTAGCTGTTATATCCCAGCATATCCAGTAAACAAAGACATCAGTGTATTTCTTGCACTGCAGCAGCACGTTCATAGAGAACAAAGAGCTAGGGGATGACTTCTCATATTTTCTTGAAATTATTTATGCTGAGATTGCTTAAAAGAGAATTTAAACAGATTAACCTATACAGTGTATGATTTGCACACCTCGCCAGCTTTGCAGACTAGACCTAGACCAGTTAACCTTTCTCCTCAGCGAGTGGCATCACTGTTGTGCTTTTACTGCTGCAGGGGAACAATTAAAGCATTTCCATACAGAATGTTGTGTAGGTCACTAACCGCATGGCGTTCAAGGCCTTCCATTTTGATTATACTCATATCTTTGGTTTAGAACAGAAAAGCTCTCCTCTGAGTTCCAGGTGTTCTTTCTCCTCCCTGAGATATTCATGTTGCATGCAGGGAGATATACAGGGAGTTACACAAGCACAGAAGCTAAGTGGATTACACTAAAAACACTGCAAACAATACATCCGTAATATTATTTTTCAATAATCATAGCAACGTTAAATAAAATTTATATCTAATTCTCACACTCTGTTCATTTTCTGTGGCAAAGATTCCATATTTTATATCGCCTTGACTTCCAGGGCCCAATCCCAAATCTGTGCTTCTCATCTCCCTCTGGAACATGGAGAGGTCTCTTCTGTACGCCCGGATTTTGCTCATCATTTGGTTGCGGAAAGGCAGCGGAGCAGACTTCAGTTCTTCCTCCATTTCCTGCAGCTTTAACCAAAAGAAAATGTGCTTACTTTTTAAACCACCCCATCTATTCTTATCAGCAGGTAAGACTCAAAACTCACCACCAGATGAAGGGATTCACATGTTTTTATGTGATAGGTCGAGGGGGATTAACCCCAAACCCTACACCTCTCAGCTAATATCGAGTACACCACATAGCACACATGGATTTTCAGACACACAGAGCCACAAGACAAAAAAAAAAAAAATATTAATTGCCCATCTTAAATGCTTGAATTTTTTGCCTGAAACATTACTCGAGAACTTCAAAGTTTGCAGTTCTCACTTTCATATAGTTTAAGCATTTGTAGGATGGGTATCAGCTTCTCATCATATCCATGTGACAGAGATCTACTGCGTAGGTAGGTGTGCCACGGAACTCACACTCAGACACCCAGGCCTGGCAACTGGACTTAGCAGCTGTAAACCCTGAGATTTTGGATACAGGGATTTTCACATCAACTTTTAGTGACAGTTGTTACAAATTCACAATTCTTAAAGCAGTCTGTCAATATGAGCTCTCTCAAAATGAGCTCTACATTTCAGACATCACCTACACAGATAAAAGTCAATAAATTCAGTAAGTTAGAGGAATAAAGTGTCACATTCAGCTGTGACTCAAAAACACCCCAACAAACAGCCCATTAATATAAAAAGAAGGCTTAGTTCACAATCTCAAGCTCAAAAAGACAAGTCACGTGAGGGTTTTGTGCTGTTCCTTGTCACCTGTTGTCCAGGAAGCCAACAGATTCTCACCACGCCCTTCATATCATCTCTAGCATTTCACTTGCACCTTTATGACTCTCCTTTGTTCAACAAAGGGAAGGGAATAAATACCCAAATCGAGCACTCAAAAACACCAAATCAACCAAACCACACATATAAGATTGCCTGTATCTGTATATGTACATAGATACATACAACAGTCCTGACAACCACAAACACACCTACCAGATCAATTAACTGAACATCAAAAAACCATACAACATCTGCCTGCCACAATATGACCCATAAAGGAAATCCAGTGTGGGAGTACTGTCCTTTTTAAGGCACCAATATCTCAACAGCTCAGAAAGGCCAAAGGCCCAGACTCAGGTTTACCGTTTCATTTGCTTCACGCTGCTTCTCATCGAATTCTCGAACTAGTTTTTTCTTCTCCTCTGTGAAATAAAAAACAGCATGTCTGATAAACTGCAGAGAAATTGCAACAGAACTCCAGCTCAGTCCATTATAGACAAGGAAGCTGATGCTGATAGCTGAATACAGAGATGCCAGGTCAAAATTTACTTCCAAGAGGAACAGCCTGTCTTTAAGACAACTCCTCAGGAGGGCGTGGTGGGGGAGCACCAACACCACCCTTCCACATGCTGGCCACCACTTCTGGTGGTAGACAAAGAAGTCATTTTTCAAACCTGAAATATTTTTTCTGACCTATTATCCCCCAATCTCCACTGACAGAACTGCATGTTGAAAAACATTTAACACAAAAGGATAACAAGGAGGAGACATGCTTGTAAACAGCTCAATTTTTTTTTTTCCATATATTCGGCAAGATTATTGAAGGTTGAAACTATAATTTGGATTTGAACAGAACATCAAGTCAACCTACATTTCCAAGGGAGCCCTAAAGTTCCTGGCAGACAGAGCACTCTGCATTCTCCTAGTCATAAAATAAGGAGATAAATGGGATAAGCACTCTAGAGTTCTTGGAGATGAACTATGCCATCAAGATATCACCCCAGGTTCACAGATAATGCCCAAACATTTCCTTCTTCTGCAGTGATATCAGTTGTTCAATCAGCCATCAAACCCCTGCATTTTAGTTGTTGGAGACACTCATTTGCTAAGATCCCTATATCCAGGGTTCTGGAGGTCAACAAATGGCTTTCACCACTGTTATTCTATTTATAAACAAAACCTTAAGATGGGTATTTTGCATGTGTTAAAAAACTATCACACCTCTCTAACTTTCACAGTCAACAAAAGTAGAAGCCTGAAATTCTCCTGTCTCAATGAAGCAAACATATATGTTCTATAAGCTTTTGCAAAAGCACTGGAGAGAACCAGCAGAGGACATTTGTAGGGAATCGTGAATGAAACCAAATGCTATCAGAAGTCTGATAAATATGCATTAGCTTAATTCATCTCTCTCTCAGGAGAGAATAACTTAAGTCTTAAGCAAAATTTTGGGTAGCAAAAATGGAGGCAGTCATCTTGCTAAAATTTTTCTAATGTGATTACACGTAAAAACGTTAAGAAAACATCATTGCACAAAAAAAATGACTTGATAATACCCTTCTGTAAGGACAGTCCCCTGCAAAAGAAGCAGTTTTTAAACCACTGAGCTCACAACAAAGAATAGGAAAAAATGTTGAAGTGATCAAAGCATTTTTACATAGCTCCTCTCATACACATGGCACGCTTAAGCTGCAGCTCTCCTTTTCAGTTCAAACTCATATCAAGCCCCAGACCCTGAGCTGCAGAGGACCCGAGAGAGAATGACCTAACAGAAGCTGTGCTCTCAGGGAGCACAAAGAATCACTGCAGACTAAGCTACACTGCGACTGCCATTACACCCTAGGTGGTACCAGGAAATGCAATTCCACATCCCAGTTTATTCAGGAGGAAACGCTGACTTAGGATGCTCTTAAATAACAGTCTCCTCAACTTCTTCCATGATTTGTCACCATGTGCGTTTGTGCTGATGCAATTATTTGTGTAGCTGGGTTGCAAGTGGAATCATGGAGGTGAGCTGCAGGAAAACATCCTTCAGAAGTCAATATTTTGTTTCATACAGGTCATTTCACTAATCTGGTTTAAGCAGTCCCCTTTTCAAACAACTCAAATTAATTGAAACCTGGTGCAGGACTGAAAAAAAAAGCAGGTTTTTAACTTCTTTCTCCCCCTGAAGTGGACTAAGAAGACACTGCACTTATGAACAAGCAGTAAAAGAAACTCTAGTTTCCAAAAGTCAAGTAGCAATGGCTCGAGCCTTTTTTGTCTATGTGCTAACAATAAACTGGGCAATGTGGCTTGAAAGCACTATACTGGATGTGGCCTAACAGAAAAGCCAGAACATCCTGAGCAGTTTAATTCATATCACTCCAGATTAAACTCAAACTGCACTGCAAGAACTTTTTCAATGCAGTAAAAGTAGCAAGTACCTAAGCCACAGCAACATTATCCATATGCTCCTCAGCATTTAACTCATTCTGTTCAAAAATAACAGCTAACTGAATTAATTTGGAGGAAAGTATCTATATTTGAAACCAGGCTGTTTAAAACACTTTCTTACAAATTAGCAAGGAAAAAGAATTGTTTCTAGAGCTAGGAATTTATCATCGTGTTTGTACAGCATGAAACAGCATTTCCAAGCCTCTGCCACAGATGTCCCAGGGACTATAGATGTTGTCTTCCTTGAGTTTGGGAGTATGCCAATCATCTTAAAAAAACACACAAGGTACCTTGTATCACCTCCTCAAGTTTTCAGGATCAGGTAACTTGAAAAATAAAGATGCATCCCCCTGCCCTAAGTACAAGAAGCAAATAAAGCACATTAGGAGTGGAATGTTTCCATTAGACAAATTCCTGACTTATCTTAAACTCTCTCAGAAATTATTTCCAAAAATATTAACAGGGTTTTTGCAGTAACAAACTTAAAGACTAGACCAGTTATATTAAAATTTTGTGGCACGTCTGAAAAATCAGTTTGTAATTATTTGCAATCTGTTGGGGGAAAAAAAAATAATCTACAAGCACTGCAAAAGCTGCTGCCTGTAAATACTCCAGTTAAGCCCACTGCTCAGCATTCACTGCACAGGACCACCCCAGTTCCATGGAGACCTGACAAAGTTCTACTTCACAAAGAAGCCAACCACTCTTCTTTCTACAAGAAAATAAGGATTTCCTACAGGCAATGCTATTTCTTCTTTTATGCGTTTTATTCTCATTGACCACCAGTGAAACTGTCAGCTTTGACAGTTGTCATTTGCAGGTTTGAACACCCTTCCTGTACCAAACTTTCTGGAAATGCTGCAGATGAGGACTGACACCCTGAATTTAACTCATAATTAAACAGAAAGCCAGATAAGAAATGGAGCATTAAGTTTTTTGTAGCCTGTGTTATCTAGCACAGAGCAGTATATTCTGAACAAGCCAGTTTTATGATTTTACACCTACACACAAACAAGCGATCAGTTCTGGGAGAATGACAAGGCTAAGGCACAACATGGCCAACAGCCTCTGCTCTTCCTTGTGGTGCAAAGCTCAGGCTGAGCTACAGCAGCTCATGATAACTGTGTATCATGTTTCTGATATGAAGAAAGTATTTAATCTAAGTATTTAATTGAAGGGATTTGGTGACACTGGTAAAATTCTCCTTGTCAGATGACTTCCCTTTCTGGTTCTCAGAAACTGCCAAGTATTAGGAACTGATAGAATCATGCCCAGTCCTAGCAGGAAGTGTTCTGTTGGAGTGTTTTACCCACTGGTATGATATAAAGGATACCCAGAAAATCAGGTTTTGCTTCTAATATAATTTGGTGTAGCTTGATAGGTATTTTTTTTCTAGTCTGTGGGAAGCTAATGCACTAACCAGACATTTAAAACAGTGATTTTAAATACAAATCTTCTCCAGTAGGTCTACAAATGGTTCTGGACAGTTGTAATAACAAAAACTGATTTTAATTTCGCTAAGGAAATTTAAAACAAAAGTCCAAGCATGATTAAAAAAAAAAAGACATGGAAAAAAAACAAAGCACTGCCATGTAGGCCGTTCACCTACGAATAACAAGAAATAGCATCCAAATGACAGCTCTACCGCAGC